GAGAGAGAGAGAGAGAGAGAGAGAGAGAGAGAGACAGAGAGAGCTTACATTCATTCACTGGCTTATTTATTTGATTAACAGAGTGAGACGCAGGGACTGGCCCGTACGCCTGACCGCCACCTCTGGCCACCACCTCTTCAAGAACCAAATTCTTGAGAGGAGCATCTGACACCGGGACATTAAGGTAACATCCCCTTAGGTTCCGCTTAGTGCGTAGTGGGGAGAGCTTTTCTATCCCTGCAGGGGGCGGGGGACCGCTCCGGGCTCTGGAGCTCTGTAAGGGAAGCTCAGGTTGGCCATAACTGCATGGGTCCCCGAATCTCAGCAGACAAGAGGTTGGCCGGCTCTACCAAGAAGGAGGTTCTTGGGGAGCCAGGGAAGTAATGTCTACCTGATACACCAGGTTTTCTTCTTCTGACAGTACAACCGCTGTTAACTGAGCGATCCACCCCTCTCGCAGTAAGGATGCTGAACGGTACCACTTTAGAGGCAGGTGAGTTCTCTCCAGGGTCCTCGGTATTTTCCTTGCTACTGTTTTCTTGGGGGTGGGTGGGGAGAGAGAGAGAGAGAGACAGAGAGAGAGAGAGAGAGAGAGAGAGTATGCCTCCATTGAGTGAAAGGGATCGTAATTGTCTTAAAATTGAGCTTAGCTTTGGAGGCTGGAAAACATTTCTGCTCAGGACTTCCCAGAGCCTGGCCCCTCCGCCCCATCCCCTCGCCAAGCGCTTTGGCTCTTTTTTTGAATGCCGTTGACTTTCCGGAGTCTAGGGTCAGGGCTATGGGCAGAGGTCAGAGTGTCTTTGGGCCTGGAGAAGCACCGGCAAGAGGGACTTGAGACCCTCGGCGGAGCAGCTGAGGCTCCACCTTGCTGGAAGCAAGTACCTTGTAAGGCTTGAATGGAAATTGGCTTTATTCACATTTCGTCGTTGTCTTCGTTGTTGTCCATCTCCAATCCATTGCGCTGCTTAGAATTTACCGTTTATTTGGGGGGGGGGCGGGATTCTGAGGGCACAGCAAGCTTCAAGTAAAAGGGCTTCAAGTTTCAGAAGCGTGATATTCTAGACGAGGTGGAAGTCCTTTTGGGGATGAGGAGAGCAATATTCAAGAACATAGGTTTGGAGATAGCAAGCAGCTGACAAGGGCCTTTGTGGCCGCAGGTGTTCGTGCACTAACAGGGTGTAGACTTGCCTGGCCCTGGGCCCCAGCGTAGACGTCTGTCCCTGAGAGCAGCAGGCAACGGGGCCAGTGCAGCAGCTGGGCTGCGGCGGAGAGCAGCATCTCCCAGGCCTCCCGGATCCTGCAGCCACAACTCTGAAGACTCCCATTGCATTTGTCCTGAGGAAAGCGTTACTGATAGGACAGAATCAGAGGTGCTCTCTGAAGCACCAGACTGGACCTGCCAGCATCGTTTGGGGGAAGCTTTGCTCATAGAAAGATCTGTCCAGAGAAAGCTTGGGGGACTTGCCGGCCATTTGCTCACCTCTAACCGAGAGCAGCCTGGTCATCCAAGGCCGGATGGCGCCACCAATGAAAGCAGGACTCCTAGTTCCATAACACCTCTGACTTCTCTTAGCTGTTGAGATAACCCCCGCCCCATGCCAAAACCTAGACAAGATCTCCAAGGCTTCTCCTTTCCAAACAACAGTATTCTTAGGATCTGAAGGAATGGCCTAACTTTAGCGGCCAAACTTGTGAACATTAGATTATGGTCACCAAAATCCAGGTTTAAAGAGACTTTGAGTGTCTTACAGTTAAATGATGAGCCATTTGCTGGGTTATTTTCTGTTCTCAAGCCTAAAGCTATGCAGCTATTTGAGTAATCCTGGGCATCTCACTTTTTCTTTCCTAGCCTCTGAGGAGTTAGACTAAGCCAGGGACCTTTTCCCAGGTAAGACTGCCAGAGCCCAGACAATGGCTCTTTAGTCTCCTCTGCCCTCATGGGAATGCTATAATCTGGTATCCTAAACCTAAAATCTTCTGTATTATTATACAGAGTCCCACTCTGCTGAAAGTTGTAACAATAGCCTCATGGATAGCCACAGAACAGAAAAGAGCACATTAGATTGCCTATGCTGGTGGGGGTTGGGGGCAGCTGTGCCAGGCCAGGGTTCTGCCCTACTACCTTTGTATTACTTTGGATTTGGAAAGAAGACTCCACATCCGAATGGGAGTATGGGCCAGACAGCCTCCACACCAGGTCTGTGGTCTCCACACGAAGGTCTGTGGAATTGAACTTGCTAGTGCTTTGACTTTCATGAAGAGTGTGCCAGTCATTGAGCCTGGAGTTGGGAGAAAGAGACACATTTCCTGGGTAAGCGGAGTGTTTTCACCTGGCAAAGCTGCCAGGATGCCTTCCCCATTTAAGCCACTTAGTCCTTTGGATGAAGAGGAGGAGGTGAGATGGGCTCTTCAGCAATCTTAGGGAACCTAGACAAAAGGTGAGCACACTCTTGTGACAGCTTAATTCTTAGGCTATGTCACCCCTCTACTCATCTAGGGCTTCTTTTTGAGCAACTAAGTGTGAGAGGAGGGTGGGCAGGACCTATAGGGAGCTATTTCCCCAGAACTAACCCAGACCTCCCAAACTCCAGCAGACCCCTGCCCCATTCCTACCTTTCCACAGACTTCTCTGCATTCTCAGAGCAAGAAAAACCGTGGTAATTGACTTCTTTATGGAAGTGACCAATTCCTGTGGGCCCTGGATCTTATAACTTGAGTTTTATAAGAAAGAGCAGTTCTAGCTAGGTTTCAGCTAGGAAACTGATTACAGGAGATGCTTTGCCCAGCTTGTCCTGATGATGATTTAAAGACATGTACAGAGGACATGGATGTAAGGATGAATGGATAGATTGATAGATAGATGGATGCAGGCTGAGAAGATGTCATTGCCTAGCTTCCCTAGTGGTTCTTCCCAAAGCTACGACTTTTTCTAAAAGGTCTTTTAAAGCTTTTTCTTCATGAAGTTCTGGTTGGTTTTTTATTGTTGTTGTTTGTTTGCTTTTGTTTTTAATGTTCTTGCTGAACAAACAGCTCAGGACCAAAACAGAGTAGCCAAAGCCAATGCCAAACAATCCTATTTGAAAGTGAGGAAGGCTGTAGGGGAGAAACTAGGCAAAGTGGACCACAGTCTCATATTTACTTTGTGTCTCTAACCTCCTTGGGTTAATTGAGCAGTTCTTTGGGCAGCCTCCCCTTCTCCTCCTTCTTGGGCCAAGTCAGTTTAACTGCTGACTTGTATGAAGGCAGTCTGCTCCTTTGTAAGAGGACCTGCTGTCTCTGAAAGGGCCCCTGCCCCCAGTCCCTCCTTGGGGCCTTCATATGTGTATGCACGTGGGTTTGAAGAGCTCATTGATTTCCATCCAAAGGGGCTAATTACATTACTTACAGTAAATAGCCGTCCTGCTGTCAGGTAGGGCTGCCAAAATAGGAGGGGGGGTGTTTCTCCAGCTTAGTTCACTTGATTGGCTTCATTTTTTGTGTGAAATTGTGTTTTATGAGCTGTATTCTGGTACCCAGAGGACCTTAAAAGCGTCCAGTCTGCAAATAACATTATTTTGACCCTGAGAAAAAAAGGTGGGGAAACAGTGGAGGCTTGAGTTTCATGGAAGAAGCGACCCCAAGAGCCTCCGAAGGTGGACCTTTGGGACAGGAAGTTAGGCTGCTACACCAGGGTGGTTTCCTCCTTCTCTGCATTCCTTCTCCTCCCTTCCTTCCTTTTCTACTTCCTTCCTTCCTCTTTCTCTTCCTCCCTTTCCTCCTTCCTACCGTAGCCTGCTCATTAGCACTCACCCTTTATTCTTTCTTTTTTTCCCTTCCTCCGATACCCCTTTCCCCCGTTTCTTCTCAGCTTTCCCTCCAGATTGGGCGAAAACTCCGCGTGGAACTTTCAGGGTGGAGGGAGGCGGGCCTGCCACCGGGCTGCTGCTCTGGGTATCCAAACTGAAGCCCCAATGATTACCGGAAAGACGGCAGAGTAGTGGGGAAACAGAGGCTGGCGACCACGAAGAAAGGGCTGAGAGCGGCCGGGCTTTCTTCTTTTTTTTTCTGATTAAGTTCCCGTAGCTGGTCCTCGCTCCACGATCCTAGGGGTTTCCTGGCCGTTTCGGTGAATCCACAATATCAGAGTATTGTGGCCACTTTTTAATGGGACCAGAGGGAGGGGAAGGGCCGCGCTAGCAAGAACAGAGGGCGACAGAACAATGCTATCTCTTGTGAAGAGCAGTCTGCTATCCAGCATGTTAGTTCTCACCTCCCCGCCTCCACCCTGAGCTCCTTTTACACCCACCCAAGTGTGCCAATGCCAGCGGCCAATGCCTCGTCCTACCCGGCTTGGGCGCCCAGCTCACCCGAGTCCTATCCTAAGCAAGCTGACAAATTCCAAACGGGACACTAGAATCTCCACTAGTTTACCTTCAATCTAGAATTAGTTAAGAGTCCTTCATGGTCAAGGTTCCATTGAATATCCAGGTCTACAAAAGCATTCCCTGGCCTCTACACTCAAAAATTTCAGAATACACACACACACACACACACACACACACACACACACACACACACACACACGTTTTTGTTTGTTTGTTTGTTTGTTTGTTTTTTCCCTCTCCAAAAGTAATACTCGGGAAAGTAAGTTCTCCACTCCCCTTTTCACTTTGCAGGGCACCTCGGAGCCTGGTGGTGTCTCCTGCCCTCGGTCTTAGACCGCCGTCAGAAGGGTGCTTTTAAAAAATGAGTGGAGAAAGAAGGGACACAGAGGAAAGGAGCAGGCTTTAAAAGCACCGCTGCGGAGAAGCGCTCCCTTCTAAGACTGTGGGTTTGGTGCGCGCAGGGTGACAGACTTGTGAACTGGGGGTTTGAAAGTCTGTGAACCAGAAGGAAACTTAAGGTTTGCAGCTCATCTTCAGTGTACACTGGGCTGGGGTCTGATGAACTGGGAGCAAATAAGACTAGCCCTCCCTCCAGCTCCATCCAGGACTCGGACAATAAGGGCTCCTTTAGTCCTTTAAAGCATGACTGTTGAGAACTCTTGGATGTGTACTGTGTGTGTGTGTGTGTGTGTGTGTGTGTGTGTGTGTGTGTGTGGTTGTGTGTTGGTGTGTGTGTGTGTGTAGGCGCGCGTGTGGGGGTGGGGGTAAAGGCCCCCTCCTTCTGCCTCCCCCCTAGTCCCCCACCCCTTTGTAATGTTTGTCCCTGCTTGCCCATCACCAGGGGGTTGAGAGGAGTATGACAGGTCTTTGTTGTCTGAATAAAAATCCGTGGCAGCTCCAGGGAGAGGACTCCTCCTACTAAATTATCAAAAATGGGCTGGCTTTAGTCTCTTAACAAATTGGACACAGCTCCGGCAGGAGCAGTCCCCAACCCAACCTAGAGGCACTGGGAACTTGCAGGCAGCTAGGGACCGCTGAATATAGCACTTCGTTTTCTTTGTGTTCAAAACTATTTTTTCTTTCTTCCTTAGATTTTGTTTTCCTCCTCCCCCAGCCCCCGCGGCAGTTGTTTTCCATTAGTAATTCGATCTCTCACTGTAGTAAGATTCTCCTGCTTTCCCCTCCGTCCGCGTTTGTTTGTTTTCTGCACATCTTCTGGGAAACGCCGGGCCTCCCCCACCCTCCCTTTTCCCATCGCTTTTTTGCCCGGATCTTTTCCCTCTCAAATAGATCTATTTCCACTCTCTCGTTTTCTTCCTTTTCTCTCTTGCCCCTGTCCCCGCGATCTACGCTCCTTCACCGCGCAGCCCTGCGCGGTCCCCTTTGCTTCCTCACGCGGATGAACTGAGAGCCCCAGGCGTGTGTTTATGGAAATAGTGGGGTGCCGATCCGAAAACAATTCGTGTCCTTTCCGCCCCCCAGCCATGCTCTTCCACGGGATCTCCGGAGGCCATATCCAAGGCATCATGGAGGAGATGGAGCGCAGATCCAAGACCGAGGCCCGTTTGGCCAAAGGCACTCAGCTCAACGGCCGCGACGCGGTAAGGACAGCCCTGGCGCGGCGCTGGAGAAACTGCGGGTCTCCGGCCTGCCCAGGTTGGGTATGGCGGGTCCCGGGGACATCTGTCTGGGGACGCTCGCTCGCTAGGTTTTCTCGAGAGGTCTGTTTGCTAGGCAAGGGTCCCTTTCCGAATCGTGGTGTCTGGGATGCTGCGGTCCAGAGCTCACTAGTCTTTGTAACGGCTGATAGCGAGCACGCAGGACAGCCGGCCTTGGAAGGAGCGGGCGTCCTCCCTGCCAGCCTGCCCCAAACTCCAGTCTCTGGTGACTCGGCCGCCAGGCCGGATCCGCCGCCCCGAGGACAAGCTTTGGTGTAGTTACTAGGGGGCCGTTTACCGGCATGGTGTCCGGGACAAGCTGGAGCCGTGGGACCCCAGACTCTTCGGAGTAGACTCCGATGCGCTGGTCCATTTCCAATTTCTTCGAACATTCAGTACTCACCACCCGAATCCAGTGATTGCTAGGGCTTCTGGCATGCGGGTTCAGATACGCTGCTCACAAAATTGCGTTTCTCTTTTTTATGGGGAGGGTGCCTTGTGTAGCGGGAAATCGGATAAAAATGAGGAGCGCCCCCCGCCCAGGTCTAAAAGCAGGAACATGAACTCTTCCAACCCAAGAGAAGCAATCAGTCACAACCGCCGGTTACTATTCGTAATATCAGTTATGTCTTCGTGAAATTAATAGAAATTTAAGAATTTCCCCTTTCCACTTATGGACTGGAGGGAGAAAACTACAGAAGTCTGCGGAAATGATTCTTGGCGAACAGTGCTGTGTAGACCTTTCGTATCACTGCGGGGACTGTAGCTCAAACTGACCCGAGACGGTTCTAGCCCGTCAGCGAAGTTTTGGGTCTCGTTAAATAGCCCACTACCATCATTTGTACCATTAATTCAGTGAGAACCCTCTTTCTGAGTAAAAGGCGAAACTTAACATTCCAGTGCCGCCAAAATGAATGTAGTAGGAGAAGCCTGGACTATTTTACTAGTCTGAGGAAAGGATCCAGCCAGTAACTTCTTTCCATCTTAAGTGGCTATTTTACTTAAAAATAAAAAGAAGCAACCAAATTCGACTGGGATCCTTAAAGTGAGTTTTAACGCCTTAGCTAGCCTCTGTTGGGACCTCGGTGGAAAGCTTAATTTGGGAACCAAATTTTCAAGAAAAAGACATATATTGTTTATGCTGGCTAGAGAAAAGAGTGAGTATACAGAAAAGATTGGATAGGGGTCCTTCCTTCGGGACAGGCACTTCACTTTCTTAAAGGAACAGGGCAACGACCTTGAACTTACAGAATAGCAACATCTGCTAAGCATGTCTGAATCACAACAATGCCGGCCAAATTACTTCGCCTATTAAAATTCAGGAAAATAGAATTATAGCGTTGTTTGTGTAAAAGAAAATCGGTATGCTTCAGAATTCCTACTACTTCACAATAACAGCTCTGTTGTTCTATTTTGTGCATTGTTTGAAAACTCACAAAAATTCATCCTTAGTTATTCTACTTCTGGAACGCTTATCAAAACATCCTCTAGGCTCTAAATGTCTGGATGCTTTAGGGTCTCAGGGCCAGGAGGACCGGGACCCTGGTCTAGGCAAACTCCTAAGAAAGGGAACTGTTGGTCGTTGAAAAGGGAGAAATTGGGAATGTTTCCCCCACTTTTGCTTTTGGTGTTGTGGCCCCTGGTCTGATGCGCTCCTGCTCTGGGGAATTCGGCCAAAAGCATCCCGGGTTGTGCGGCAGCGCCCCGCGACCCCCATCAGCCTTGCCGTGTGCTTGCTTCACAGGGCATGCCCCCGCTCAGCCCAGAGAAGCCCGCTCTGTGCGCGGGCTGCGGGGGCAAGATCTCCGACAGGTACTATCTACTGGCGGTAGACAAGCAGTGGCACCTGAGGTGCCTCAAGTGCTGTGAATGTAAGCTGGCCCTGGAGTCTGAGCTCACCTGCTTTGCCAAGGACGGTAGCATTTACTGCAAGGAGGATTATTACAGGTACTTCTACCCCGCCCCCCACTCACGTTCTCCTCTAACCTGGTGGAGCCACCTACGGGAATCCGGAGTTGCCTCTCTGTCCCTGTTTTTTTTTTTTTTTTTTTTTTTTTTTTTCTTTTGTTGTTGTTGTTGTTGTGGTGGTGGTGGTGGTGTGTGTGTGTGTGTGTGTGTTTTGTTGTTGTGGTTTTTTTTGCTTTGTTTTGTTTTGCCCTTCAGGGTTCAATTATTTCTGAGATGTGAAATTCATTACAAATGCTTTAAATCAGTGAGGATAGGCGAGAAGGATCCTAAAGAGCAGAGATTTTTATCAGGGTTCCCAGGTCTTCCCAGCTACACGGCTTAGCCGAAAAATCCCGAAGAGAAAATGGATAGGTCTCTGGCGAACAAGACTTTTGCTCTGTTTTGTTTTGTTGGTCCCCCTTAATGTGAATTGGTCAACTTCCCTATTGGCCGGGGCAGCAGCAACCAAGTGGATGACAATGATCCTGTAAATGACTTTGGAAAAGTTCCCCGAGGCCAGCCAGAATCAGACTGAAGAAACAAAAACCAACAAAACAAAACAAAAGCCAAGCAAACAACAACAAAAACAGCAGCTCAGGAAAAGGTTTGCGCCTGTGGAAATGACCTAGTTGCCCTCTAAGCAGAAGGGGGGGGGGGTGCTGAAAGAATAGTCCTTCCCTTGCAGAATTACCATTTTCTGGGATAGCCAGGAGCACTCACTCACGTACAAGAGTGGTGCTATTTTGTCATCGCAAGGCCAGGCTTTTCATTTGGCGTTGCAACCTAATAATTTCTTTCAATAGCGCTACAAGCTGGCCAGTTCAGAGTTTTGCTGGTTTGCTTTTTAAAATACATTGAAGCTAAGTTCCTGGTTCTTTTGACTTTTCATGTAAGGATGCTTTTGTTCCAGTTCATCAGAACCTGAATAGGTCACTGTGCAAATAAAGCTGATATCCAAAGTGGCCCCCAGCCAGCGCTCCCAAGCCAGTCTTTGGCCCCTGCAGTCTAAGCCCCTGGCGCTGCGAATGGGAGATAGGCCCTCCTTGCACCACCAGGAGCTCTGACTCTCCTGTTTGCTTCCAGAAGGTTCTCTGTGCAGAGATGTGCCCGCTGCCACCTTGGCATTTCTGCCTCTGAGATGGTCATGCGCGCCCGAGACTCCGTCTATCACCTGAGCTGCTTCACCTGCTCCACTTGCAACAAGACCTTGACCACGGGCGACCATTTCGGCATGAAAGACAGCCTGGTGTACTGCCGGGCACACTTCGAGACCCTCTTGCAAGGGGAGTATCCACCTCAGCTAAGCTACACGGAGCTGGCAGCCAAGAGCGGAGGCTTGGCTTTGCCTTACTTCAATGGCACAGGCACGGTGCAAAAGGGGCGGCCCCGGAAGCGGAAGAGCCCAGCTCTGGGAGTGGACATCGTGAATTACAACTCAGGTGGGCCCCAAACCTTACCCGCCCGCCCCGACAGCTCACATCTCACACGCTGGAGGAGGATTGGGCAGAGCCGGTTCAGCTCCCAGACCCCGTGGCCAAGACTGCTTTGCCTAGCATAACCCTGCTCTCTCACCACAACCCCCTCTCAGTCTGAAGAAGAGAAAGGAGAGAAGTAAAGGAGATGGAAAGGGAGCGAGGATGGGTTATTGGTTATTGAGCTTGTGGAGAAAAAAAAAAATTCTAACCATGGGGCTGAAGTGACTTCCCCCAAACCGGCAAAGCCAAATCCTTGTTGCCCATTAGTTAATGAGCCCATTAGTTTCTGGCTCTCAGTTGGAGCAAAACAGCCCCAGGGCAATTCCTTTGTTGGAGCCAAATTATAGATCCTGGAGGAGGTTTTCCTAAATAGTTAATGGGGGGAAAGAAAGACTTCAGAGCCCTGCTCCACTCTGTCTGGAGGGGGCAGAGTCTGTGGTCACCAGCCCAAAGTTAATCAGCAACATAGTTGGCAAGGGTATTGAAAAACTGAATCTCTGATCTTGGCAAAGAGTGACTGTGGGGTGGGACTCTGCACAGCTGAGACAGCTGTGCCTCTGGAGGGTCAGGGTATTCACACAGCCTCCTGACTCCCTGCTTGAAGGATCATCAGGTCATCTAGACCTCTGATAACCAGGGAAGTCTCTTGGTCAAGTCCACTGGGGTAGCTCAGTGATATCTCAGGCTGCTTGTCTGCCCTCTGCTAGCCTTCTCTCAATTCAAAACAAAGTGCAGGCAACAGCCCCCAAAGACCTCCTTGTTTTGGAGGATAATCAATTTGCTTCACACCCATGTACCAGTTTCTTATTGTGGATAGCCTGTCCCCACCTCCCATCCTTGAAATCAGGCTGTTAGCATATCCTGAAGACTTGATCTCTTAGAGTAAGTACAGAGGGAAAGGGGTTTCCAGAAAACCCAGGCTGATTTTGGGTAGCCTAAGGAACTGGACTGTTCTGATTTCCCATACCTTGGCCCAAACTGATTGGGGGACTCAGCCCACAGGGGACTTGTGTAACCGGAAGAGATACACTGGCTAAGTGTGAGTATTCAGTACTTAGCGTCTTCCAGTTTCCAGTGTCTGGTGTGGCATATGATAGTGGGACAATATCTTAGTTAAATGATCTGCCCTAGGTCATAGGCGCGGTGAACATCTGAACTGAGAGTCCTGCTTGGGATCCACAGTTTTCAGGTGGTCCTGGGAACAGGAGCGCTTCCCAGGCGCTATGCTAGGTTATTTCCTGGGATTCTTTTCCAGATTTAGAGGAATCCCGTTTGTGTCTGGGATGGCACAGAAAGATGGCGTCTCAGAGAGAGAATGGGGCCGCATCTGTCTCTACCGAATTCACATCTGGGCAGCGTCTGGACCAAGGGAAAACACAGGGCCAACATAGAGGCTAAGGGTGGGTCTGTGTTTGGCCGCAAGCACAGCCCGGGGGTTGGCTAAGGGCACAGCCGCTTTGCCTGGCTGCACCCTGCACACACAACCCCCCCCCCCCCCCCCCCCCCCCCCCCCCCCCCCCCCCCCCCTTTGATGCTTGGTCCTGAAGGCTAGACAGGCAGGACACCAATTGTTCTTTATTAATAGAAGATGACATTGGAATTTCCAGCCACTCACCAAGACCTTACTGTCCTACTGAGAGAGGAGAAGAACAGAGGAGGGGGAAGCGGGGAAGGGAACCAGGAACAGTAAGGTGAGGAAGGGAAACGGGGTTTTATACCACTAATGGGAGAGAGAATGATGCCTGCACCCCATGGAATCCAGAGTGGTGAGGGTTTCTCCTTAAACGGGCCGAAAGTTTGGCTGTTGGCTTGTTTTATGTAATCTAATTAGCTAAATTTGGTTTTGCCTTGCATCTTTATGTTAGATGGATCCAAGAATCTTTCAGAATAATAGAATTTAGCTTTTCTTAGTTTTTACTTTTCTGAAGACATATAGAGAAGGAAAAACGCTGTTTAGATTCTTTGTTCCTTAGGGTTGCTGAGTCTCTGGGCACATTGTCCTGTTCCTGGATAGCAGAAAAGTGGCCCAGGCTGACCAGTCCACTGCAGCTTCTTGACACTCACACCCTTTTCTGGATGTCCTCAGAGGCACAAGCAAATAGAACACATTTCTATAAGATTAGGTGAAGATCCCCTGGAGGAATCGGTTTAAAGTAATTTAAGCAAAATCACCCTTACTTACAAAAAATGTTTATGATTCTAATGGCAGTTTGTCACACAGTCAGATGGGGCAGGGGTGGGGTGGGGTGAGGTGGGTGGGTCAGCAAGTTTAAAACATTAAAATATAGAACATACAAATCACCTAAGTTTTAAGCTCATTGGTTTTTAGCATTCTTTAGGTTTTCTATTGCCACTTGTGATGAAATGAGAAGCTTCATAAAGAACAGCATTAATGGATTCCAAATAAATCCATACAATGAGTTTAAAAAAACATGCTCAGGATCCAAAGACTGTCAGAGAACCCATGAAAGTTGGCAGAGATCAGTTAGTGCTCACCATGGGTTAAGTACCTTTCAATGGAATGCTCCTTGTTTAGTTTCCACGTCTTTCTACATATTCATCAAATTATTCAGGCTGATATTTTTGGGAAAGGCATAGGTAATTTATCTGAAATGTTGGATTGAAAGTAAAACCCTTCAGAGGTGAGAGGATTCAGCCCAGGGTAGACAGGTCCTATTTGGATAATTGACCATTAACTAAGAAACTGGATTTTTGCTACTTCTCACCCCCCACCCCCACCCCAGGTTCTTTCCTGTAAATGTGCAAGATTCCTTCTTGTTAAATTAGCCTGGCACTGACCCCTAGCGGTCTCCGAGGAATTAGTTAATTCTCAGAAGGTTCCGAACCCTTCAGAAAAGAAACTTCTTTTAGATAGGTGACCATCTCACAAGCAACCGAATGTAAACCATTTAGCTCTTCAGTAACAACAGATTTGGAGTTTCAGGTGGAGATCTGAAGTAATTTAAAGAGAGTTATTCATTCTTATAATTCAGGGGGAAATATCCTTAAGGCTTAGACAATCATTTGCAAATATTCATAAAGATTTTGTCATTAAACACAAATAATTTAGGATAAGCCTGTGGTAGAAATAGGTTTCTCTATCAAGCTGTATAATGTAGGTGCAAACATAGGCCTATGAAAATCATATACTGTAAGAAAGCCCTGATGCGAATGTTCTTATGTGGCTGTAAACCCAAGAATTCTTTCTAATGCACCAAACTGCTACACTGAATTTGCAAGGAGCAAAACCAGATGCAGAGTACGTATTTACAAAAGCAATTTCCTCAGATCTTATTTTAATTATTTTTTCCTTGGATTCATTTCACATAATGAATAGCTAGATAGCTAAGTTGGGAATTATATTCATTTCTAGAAAATGTTTCCGTGGGAGAGGTGGCACTAAGTAAGTGTGTCGTTTAAACATGAAGTTGAGGCTTTTGTCACAATTGATGTGTTGTTCAGGAAAAGTTGCTCACATAGGATAGGCATGCTGTCTCATTTGAAGAAGCCTCCAACGACTGGGATGTGCCTCCTTGAGCATTTTGCTGAGGGTATATTTGCAGTCTGGCTGTGAAATATGGCTCAGTTTACTGGAAATAACATAGTTTTATAGTCACAAGTTGCTGTTTCATCCACTTGAGGATCTGAAAGTGCAATTCTGCAGACTATTTGAAGTTGACATGTCTCCTCTGGGATGGAATAGGGTAAAATGTAAAATATATTCTCTCTGTTATCTGTGGGTATATGTTTCCATCCTGGCAGGCCTAGAAGTTTAAGATCAAAGTTTGACAGTGTATATCTGACTTGGACACCATCCCAAGTTGATTTGACTTTGTATTAACATGTACTTAAAATTTTCCTGTTGGACAAAAGGCTTCAAGAGCATACTTGTTGAGTTCATGGCCTTGTTTTTGACTTACAGACTCCAAAGGAGAATATGATAACAGCACTTCCCCCCACCCCCCAGGGAACTCACAGACACCTGCTCTTTTGTATGACTGCTCTCTTGTGTGATTCCCACCTTTGTGTGTTAGGATACACAAAAGTTCATAGTTCTTCATTTTATTATATTTAGTGGCATTTCTCATTAAATGAGTTTTGTTCAAAGTAGATTTCCTGGTTGATGACCACAAAATTGCATATATGCTGATTTCTGAGCACATATATGCATATCCACATTCTGATTTGCTAAAAAATATAATCTGAAATTCTAACCAGAGCCTGGCAGGCAGTTAACATTAACAACAAACAAACAAACAAAACAGGAGAGGGGTAGCATTAAGAGATGTCTCGCTTCTTTCAAGATGTAAGCTTTTCCTTCAGAATGACATGATCAGGTTGATTTTAAATAATGCACCATAACACGGGATGGTTAGATGTGAAAATAAATCAGATGAATATATGAAATAAGGGTCTAAAGAACCAAAGACAGCTATGTCCCTGAATCGCAGAGGTGAGTACGACAGTAAATATTTAGTAAAATGTTTTCATCTTGTCGTCATGTCTTGTGCAAAACCAGGAAATAGCTTTACATATTATGAAATTTTACACCTTGAGGATTTTTTCACTGGTTTAAAAGACTGACTTATTTTGCCCTTGGTGCCAATGAGGGTTTTACAAGAGCAGAGAAGATACTGCCTTCCCAGTTACTGCCAGGCCAGTCAGTGGCACAGCTCATACCTGACTCACACACATCCACAACACAGGGGACCAAGATGGGTAGAAACCATCAGCTTGTCTCAACAGTGAGCTGTGGGGAATGCTTCAGGCATGAGTGAATGAAAAGACTGGTATCATTTTCTTTCAGAAATATTTATTAGAATAACTGCAAGGGAGAACTGTTTTCTTTGTGCCAGAGCTCAAGCTAACCAGGTATAGCTGAAACTCTTCAAATGCAGTGTTCATATGATTCTCTAAGACATTAAAAAACATGTCATTTTCTCATGCCTCCTCATTTTCCAACCATATTCTTTTTCCTGCTTGAGAAAGCTCCATAAATAAAAGGAAAGCTTTAGATTATGCCTTAGTTTCCTCTCTCTCTCCCTCTCTCTCTCTCTCTCTCTCTCTCTCTCTCTCTCTCTCTGTGTGTGTGTGTGTGTGTGTGTAATGCACTGTGCTGTTGACTTGAAACTTGAGACCTGACATACATGTCTGCCACATTTGTCATGACAAAGAACAGGGTCTTGACACAGTACATGGCAATCCAGAAACAGTCAAAATGTTACAAAAACTATGTGAATGGGGACACATGGGTGCAGATCCACATAAACCATCAGCAATGAGTTTCTGTTTCTTCTCCTTCTCCTTCTTTTCCTTTTTATGTGGTCACTCTTACTCCTTCAGTTTCCTGGAGTATCAAGCAGAGAGAAAAAGTTTTATCTTATATTATCTATTATGTAAACCAGCTGTATACAAATAGCCTAGGTTAGCTGACTGTAGCCATTGTCTTCTAGCTCTCACTCACCACTGGGTTCACAGCCTTTTGCTTTATGATGACAGCAGCAGCATGTACCCTACGTCATTTAAGCTGGAAGTTTCCACTGAGAAGTTGTTTGTTCACTGTTGCTGCAACAGGTTGTAATGAGAACGAGGCAGATCACTTGGACCGGGACCAGCAGCCTTATCCACCTTCACAGAAGACCAAACGCATGCGAACTTCCTTCAAGCATCACCAGCTCCGGACCATGAAATCCTACTTTGCCATCAACCACAACCCGGATGCCAAGGACCTCAAGCAGCTTGCTCAAAAAACAGGCCTGACCAAAAGAGTTTTGCAGGTAAGACACATCCATCATTGGCTTTGTGTATATCTCCTCCCTTCCCCTTGACAGTGACTAGTTCTCTTCCCTAACCACGTGGAGACGGAGTTTTCCTATTCTGCTTCCTAGTAGTCTCCTTCCGTAGTTATCTTCCTACAGGGGCTTCCTGGAGGGTACTCAAGGAGGCGTCCAGGACTCACATTCTCCCTACAAATGGAGAGGTGGGCTCCAAAGCCCCATTGCTGTGTAAATGGCATTGGCTTTATTTAAACGAGAGTTTTCTGTAAAGATATCCACTCACACTGGGTTTAGTGTACTAGTTTCTAAGGATCTGCAGTCCCATGTCTACAAACTCTTGGCAGCCCACTCATGTGGGGACCTTCCAAATTCATATGGCCCTCCCCCAGCTCTTGAATAGTCAAAGGTAAGGTTAGTATCTCAGCAAGCAGTTGGATCAAGAATTTTTCATTTTAACAAGCTGTTATTACAAATCCAGAGTTCTTCTGGGTGTTGAATAGCTCCCCCAGACTTATAGTAAGGATTATAAAATGATCCAAGGTTGCTGTGAGTGACCCGTGATCTCCCCCTCAATGACAAGAAGCAGACATTTTCTGTTCTCTGGCTGTTTGGGGTCTGTGGCTGGGAAGACTATTACTGTCTGTAGTAGAGCATTTGTTAAGTGTCAGGCTAGCAACCAGCTGGTGGTGTTCCCTTCATGTGAGTAGTTCCTACTTTGAGACACTTGTAGTGACCCTGTTTTTCCCTGTTCTTTTGAGGGATGGTGTGTTTTCCCCTAGTCTCTATACCTTTGTTTCTGTGGTATCTCTGCTCCACCAACAGTTATCCCAAGTGGCACATTTAATACAGGAGCATATGTGCAGTTCCGAGAGAATAACTCTATTCTATTACCTGAATTAGTCTATTTTGAAAGAAGTAGAAAAAGTCCACTTTCTTTCCAAGAAAAATGATATTTAAAAAAAGTAGAGGAAAGAGAAGGAAAAAGAAAAAGAGAAAAAAGGAAGAGAGAGAAAAGAACTTAAAAAAAATCGATAAAGAAATCAATTGGGATTGGTTTGCAGGTTTGGTTCCAAAACGCACGAGCCAAATTCAGAAGGAACCTTTTGCGGCAGGAGAATGGGGGTGTTGATAAAGCTGACGGCACGTCGCTTCCGGCCCCGCCCTCAGCAGACAGCGGCGCTCTCACTCCACCCGGCACTGCGACCACTTTAACAGACCTGACCAATCCCACTGTCACTGTAGTGACATCTGTGACCTCTAACATGGACAGCCACGAATCCGGAAGCCCCTCACAAACTACCTTAACGAACCTTTTCTAACATTGGTTTTTTATTTTTTATTTTTAAAGGATTCTTCCTCTTTTTATTATTATTCTAATATTATTATTTTATTATTTACGAGACTTTTTTTTTCCTTCTCCTAACCCACAAAATATTTGGGGAATAAAAATAGCAGCTTGGTGTGTAGCATCTACACCACTTGGCTATGAGTTTACAGTACTGTCGCTTTTAAGTGAACGTATTTTGTCTTCAAGGTGTACTTGATCTTTTTTCTTTAATCAGGTTTTTTTGTTTTTTGTTTTTTTTTCTTTTCAGTTGGTAGGGGGAGATTTTGAATCATTCTATTAAGTGCCTCTTAAAATTGTATGTTACTTATTTCCAAAATTTCAAAGGGATAAAAATGGAGGGTATTATGATGGGCAAAGCATATTCCCGTTTTTGTGATCAAGTCATTAATGAATCAGACACTTAGTTGTTTTTTAAATCTTACAATTTAAAATTTTCATATTAAAAAATTAAAAACAAAAGTACTATTACTGTTTTTTTTTTTTAAACCTGAACTATTAATTCAGGTGAGGGATATGATTAAAGGAAACATTAACATCAATTTTAAATAGTAATGATTAACAATGTGGGAAGTCTAACTCAGGAATGTAACTTCCTGTTGTTAGGACCTTATCCCCCCTCCCCACTTTTTACTGCTTTTCAAAAAAACAAAAAAACAAAAACAGAAAACAAAACTTAAACTCCTTGTGTATACAGGGAAATTACACTTAAAATGTATTTTGACCTCCTACATTAAAAAATAAAAGAAAAAAAAAGAGAGAGAGAAAAGAAAACGTTTTCTAGCCAGTGTCTGAAGCTGTTCTTTTTACTTAACCTTTTTTTCCCCCCCGGAGAAACGGAAATAAGCAAAATACAATTTTTTAAGAAGTAAAAAATTGGCATATCTTAATTAATAATTAATTGGCTTCAGCTGTACCATAATATTGTATCTGGCATTCTACTTATGTCTTCTTCTTCTTCTTCTTCTTCTTCTTCTTCTTCTTCTTCGTCTTCTTCTTCCTTTTTTTTTTTTTTATTTAAACCAACCTAGTAAACTAATACCAACAATGAGAGTTACTTGGTTTTTCTTTATTTTATTCTGGCATGGGTTGATTTATGTATAAAAATCTTTCTAATATTACAGATGTGAAGTTATGAGTCTTAAAGTAGATAAACTCAGAAGCCTTGTGGATGCTGATCTGAATATATCTCCTAGTTTACAGCAGCGATTTTTTTCTTTTAATTTAAGGTGAAATCTTAATGGTCTGGGCAGTGGTGAATGTTCATCTATCTGCTTCTGTTGTAGTTAAAAAAATCAACTAGATTGTGGATTTCCTAAAATAATAAAGAAGTCAAGATCTATGTCTTGCTTTAGTGGATTGTTAAGAATGACTTTGCACATACTGTCCACTTTTTTGCACCCCTTAAATCCTCTGGTGGTCGAAGTGGCTATTTAATAGATTTTAAAGGTGCCCTTCTGGCTGTATAAATGTGTGGTTACATATCGACAGTTCACTGCCCACATTAAAGTGCATTATTGTAACTTTTGCTCAGGGTCTTTAGAAAATTAGCACAGAAAGTAGCTTATTTTTTAAAAAATAAAAGATGATGGAAGAGAAGTTAACACTGTAACAGAAGAAAAGTGTGATCGCCATTATATATTTAGCAAGTGTGGTCATCTTCTATGGAGCTTAAATCTTGACTTTTCATATTTCTCTTACATTTTGGGCATTTACCACTAACCAGACCAAACAACCTTGTTAAGGCTGAGATCTTATTAACACACTTTTACAGGTAAAATATCGATACTTAGAAATTTTGTTCTTTGACAGAACAATATATGGTACTACAGATCTACTTTATTAAGTAGACTAATTATAACTCAGTTCTCCTATGTGCCTTATGATATAACTTGGAAATAAGTTTGTGAAAAATCAGGATATATGTGTTGTTTGTTAAATTAACTGTTTTAAGCCCTTTTGACACCTCACTAGTTTTGTACTGTTTTACCTCTTATTTCTGAAACTCTTTTTATGGTGTATCCTGTTAGAGGGGACAAACATGTCATAGAAAGCAGTTGTGCACTCTTTCAAATATAGTTGATAAATTCAATAATCTTATATATTGAGCTTCGTGTTTATAGTACAGTAAGTGGTCTAGCAAAATTGTCCATGTTCCTTTGTTTATTGATAAATGCATTGTATAGAAACTATTTCCCCTAAATATTTATGGACCAAACAATTGTGATATATCCTATTAAATTTGTGTGAATAAACCATTTTGAATCTAAGGAGTTTTATTTCCCATCAGTTTTACTTGTATTAGTATGTTTTCAATATCTATCTGTAAAAGCTAAGAAATAGCAGCGCAATTAAAAAAATTCAAAGAGAAATAGTTCTTAGGTTTCCAAACTTCTAATTCATATTAAATACACACACCAATGTATATAAAATGTGATCAAATCTTGAATTACCATTAAATATTCTTGTTTATAATAAAAGTGATGCCCCACTGATTTGACTCAGTTCAATTTTTAGAATAAAAATAAATTAGCAGATCCATAGTTGCATGAAAAGAAACCTTAAAGATGATTAAGATTTAACATCAGGTCTATTGAGCACAAGTGGATATTTGTAAATCTAAATAGAAATTGCAGACCCCTAAAAGCCAAGTTGCTCTGTAGTTAATAAATTGTCACTATGATTTTTTTTCAGGGAGAACAAATCTTGGGGCATTACAGCCAAACATCCCGACGTTTGAAAATTCCCTAAAGTATTAAAAGAAGGGGAAAAGTTTGATCGGAAATCCACTGCAGTGAAGACAAAGACACTATTAGGTTATGATAATCATACATTTAAAAGTTTATTGAACCAAAAGAAAGAGAGAGAGAGAGAGAGAGAGAGAGAAAGAGAGAGTGACATAAGTGTCATTTATTGAATGTTAACAAAATTTCTGTTCTTTATGATGTCTGACACAAATGAAGGCATAACACCATGTGGTTTAATAAAAGGTCGAGATAAACCATGTAGAAAACCAGAGCAACCTGGCAATAATATGCCCTCCCCACATTTGGAGAAAACCATTATTGAAACAATTGCACACATTTGTCAAGCACAATAACTGTAAAATAAAGACCAAAAACATCCATTTCATCTGCTTGCTAATGTGTATCAGTTCTATTTCTTAATGTCATTTTCCAATTGTAAATTCAAAGAATAGCTTTTGCTCGTTAACGAGAGCACAGGGACCAAACCCCGGTGATTTTAGAATGATTGTCTATACTTCCTTTTTAAACAGAAGGCTGTGCATGCACTTCCGCATCCGTCACCTCTAGTGTACATCTCTGTAATGATGACTTTGCTGTTTCCTGTATGATAAATAGCTTTCATTAATAAACATTTTATTTGACGCAAACATAGTTAACTTTATGTTAAGCACACATTGTTGAAATTAATTTTGAACACTGTCTTAAAGAGTCAGGACAGTACACTTGCAGCCTGTTGTGGAAAGGAAGGTGGGGGCAGACTAGAGAATTAGATGAAATTATTTTGTTTGATTTTAACATTTATGGCTTATTTTCATTTATTGTATTCAGTTGACACATGATGAAAATAAAACAGTAAGTCCAAATTACAGCAAAATAAGCATTAGAATAAATTATTATGTAAAATTTCAACTTGTTTTAAGATTTTAGGGTAACATTTATAGATTCTCTGTGAGTTTACATTTTCACTATGCAATGAGCAAATTTATTGAAGTATATGAGTATATTCTGAACTCTGACATTTGGTTCTTTGAATAGTTCAGGTTGCACAAGGTATCAGAAACAAAGGATCAGTGGGGAACAAATATTTAGGCATGAGGTTTCTTTTCATCGTTAAAGGGAATACTTGAAGGAAAAATGTTGTAAAGCTACTCTTACTTAGCTCAATATCCAAAGCACATGTTAAACAAATTAGCATATAGAATACTTTCCAGAAAAATTTCTTTATGAAATTTTTATTATGTATAAATAAGCCCTATGTAAAGGATGTAAGTTGTACGAATGATAGACATTAAAAAAAGCTCACTTATATTTATTCTCAGAATTTTGAATGTTTTCTCGAACACTTTCATTTTTTGAATGCTAAACAGGAAAAAAAAAGGTGATTAAAGGACAGGTACCAACTAAACTAGCAATCCACCCAGAATGCACCATGACAAGTGAACTGCTTTGAGTGATCATGGAACATGTTGATTTTGTCAGTCACTTGGATGTTTTCGCCTCATCAAAATCTCATCCATAGCACTGGCAACCTGAATGGATTTTCCAACACATTCTCTGCCCGTGTATTGAAATGTTGGTCCTGTAGGCTTTGCCTTCTTTTCCTGTTCTGTCACCTAGGGCAGTTTCATTTTGAAATATTTTGGAAGTTTGCCTGGTTTTTGCAGACTTTTAACTATTTGTCTGGTATGTGAAATTCGGGAAGAGACCAAAGAGAGAAAGAACGTAGCTGAAATTAGACATCTGAAAAAAATAATACAAATTTGAAGCAGGCACATTTTTTTTAAGAAGAAGGAAAGAACACTAATTACGTGAGTGGGAAGTGGAAAAGTCACGTGACACAGGCTTGGAAGGTCTAGCACACTTTCCTACGATGCACGGCAGTCTTCAGTCTGGGCAACTGCACATTTAGTGTTTGGCATAGATTAGAAGACTGAGGACATTTTAGATGGGTGCAGGGAACCAAATTTTATAGCTTCTACCTCCCCAAATGCCTAGATGAATCTAACTTCTGGCAAATTGATCCTAGGAACAAAAACTCTTACTGACAATATCTGTGAACTTTGGTTGAATGCCGTTGTAATACTGACTTAACACAGTAGGTAGCCTTTTGATACTTCAAACAGAGTAAAACTTCATAACACAGAAACCAAAGCACACAGCTCTTAAAGTCTTGGTGATTTTCATTACCTAAAAATGCCAATAGCTTTACTCAGCAGAATCCCAGTGGAATTTACTGTACAGTTTTCAGAGTGAAAGCTCTTTTATTAGCCACACATAAGATGGCATCATTTTCTATTGCACTGTGCCAGCAGAAAACACTATGGCGTGAGGCATCAGAATGGGAAGTTCTGGGACAAAAATGTGGCATTCTATCATTTTAGGATTTTAAGGAAATTCAAAAGATAATGCTATTACAAAAATATAAAGTTTCAAATAAAGTTTTGTTAATTTCTGTTTAAACTGTGTTACTGGCACAGAAGTCTCACTTGTAGGAAGATTATGAACTGTCAAGAAGATACAACACTTTTTATACTTTATGGTCACTAGCCATCAGGGGACAATAAGAACACTGGGGTTTAGTCTAGACTAAATAAACAATGTTGCATTTTCTTTGGAGCTGCATATAGAGAAGGCCTGTGTTGGCCTGTGGATGAATCTATTTTCTATTTCTAGTAATGAGAAATTAGCTTTGAAGACTGAAATGAGATACAGTGGCCAAACAATAAACCTGTAATGTACAATTCTTTGCTTAACAATGTCAACAATTCTAAACAGTCTCTAGATTTTCCTATTGATTTGTGTCTTTTTGGGTCATACCTATTTTGTCTTTGTAATATTTTTCAAGTTAGTATGATTTCCCTTATTTTCAAAATAAAATCCCAAGGTAAATATTCTTTTTAATGCTTCCTGGGACCATTCCCATTTTGTTTTTCTGGAATTTGTAGCAAAAAGAAACAGTTCAGTGCTGTGCATGATGCTTAAGGTGGTCTCTGAAAAGGATGTAAGCAGCAGTATGATTGCCAGGATTCATTTCCTTATTAACTGGGTTGCAAAATAAATGTTTCAAATCAGACAGCATCCTCTGCTTAACACATTTTTCTGTGAATAGTAACAAAAAAAGCAAAAAAACAAAAAAAAAGACCACCCCAAACATGTATCCCACTGGCAAGTTTCTCTTCTCTTGGATTGTTGGTTTTTGCTTCTCTGCTTCTCTGCATTACATTTTATCTTGTGTGCTGAAGTGGCAAGAAACAGGCAAGGATAAAGATCCAGGCATCAGCCATGGGTAGAAAGTTCTGTGTCTGTTCCTGTGTCCCTTCAGGTCACTTAGAATTGTCAGGAATGTTTCTTTCCTTTGGATTTTTTTCTGTTTACACTGTGCATGATCTCATGAATTACTCTGAAGAGTACCTGGATACCTTTTATGGTTATTTGAAAATAAAATTTGTTACAAATAAGCCACTTTGGTCTCTGTAGATTCATATCATGTGTGACTGCATTAATTTTTTTCATTTTCACATAGAATCAGAAAACCTTAACATTTGAGGATATTTAAATTGTTATTAATGGCAAACAGACAAAAATGAAGAAATTCAAAGGTGAGATTGCCTTTACTTTATTATATTCATTTTCTTCTTTTCCTTTTTTAGAGTAGCCAAAATCACAATGAGCTGTTAGCTTTGACTTTGACATTCAAGGCTTTTGAGAGCCTGTATCACTTAATGTTAGATTTGTTACTCAGTAAACATTAATTCTGTAGAATAAATGCCCTTTATGAAGTCCATTTTTGAAAAGCACAGAGGTATTTCAGGATTTCAAGCAGTTGTTTGAATTCTGAAGGCATGAATAGTTCCTTAAAAGAAAAATGGTGGGAAATTATTTTAAATGTAATATTCATTGCATTTTAATGAAGTAAACTAGAGACTGTAGACAATTTTCAAAGAGCTACAAAATTGTTATGAAGTAAATAATTAAATGATGGAATTTATCTATACCAAAAATTGGAATAGCATACTCTATAAAAAATTATCACAAAGTTGCCTTGTTTTTTGTATGCACATTTGCACACTTCAGTTTAGATAGTTTATATTTCCAATGTTACTGATTACTCTTAAATTCAACAGTATTATCCTGTTGTTTGCATGTTGAATATCTTATTTCTATTACCCATTAAAACTGTTAATGAAATGCAAAGCAAGAGTTAAACAATGGCAATTATTTGATTCAGGTGACAAGCATATTTTCACTAAGTAACCTGTGCTTATGTTCTTACACATTTGTTGACAATAATTTTCTGGGTTCTGTGTAGGTTTCTTTTTTTCCTTCAGCTTGTCCATAACTCTTCTGTTAATTAGAATTGCTGTCTTGAACTATTATATCCAACTAATTTTGACCAATGTATGCATTTCAATATAAGTAACAAAAGGAAGTTTTTGTTGGAAGCAATGGTTTAATTCACTTTACATATTAAGGAAGACAGTAGAGAAAAATTACTATCACAATGCCCAGAGAATATTTTGATTTAAAATTTGAATTATTAGTATACCAGTGGCTGATGGAAGCAGAGGCAGACACCCATAGCTGAACACTGAGCTGAACTCCTGGAACCCAGTTGCAGAGAGGGAGGAGTGATGAGCAAAGGGGTCAAGACTGGGATGGTGAAACCCACAGAAACAGCTGACCTGAACAAGGGGGAGCTCATGGACCCCAGACTGATGGCTCCCAGTAAGAGCATTGGGTGTTCAAGGTTATCCTTGGCTACACAATGAGTTCTAGGCTAGCCTAGTTACAGGAGATGGAAAAAAAGTGTTCAGACATCAATTGGTTCATTATTAAATATGAAACACAAACTTACTGACTTGTGCAAATATATGGACCCAGAAATAGTCACAATGTCCTGCTAAATGTGTATACTTTTTATATACACATTTAGAGAGCTAGATAGATCCAGAAGCTAATCAAGAGACAGTTCACACATAGGCAACTTTAATAGTATAAATACCTATCATACAATGGAAGTGCTTGTTATAAACACTGGTAGTTTATTTTTCTTTAGTATTTTCCAACCAAACTCTTTCTAGATACTTTACTTTTATTTACATATTTATTTTTTAATCAGATATGCATACATTCATAGAATCATTCTGTGTTGGAAGAAGCCTTACGAGATTGGCTCCAATTCATTCATTCATTCATTCATTCATTCATTCCCTCTTTCCCTCCCTTCTTCCTTCCTTTCTTCTTTCCTTTCTTTCTTAAGCAAGGTCTCATATATTCTAGGCTGGCCTCAAAATTGAAATGTAGCTAAGGATTACCCTGATTATGAGATCGATCCTCCTACCTCCACTCCCAGGGTGCTGGAGTTACAGGCTTGCATCCAAAGTTGCTGGTTGTGGAACTTTGAAAGAAAATGACCCCAGTACTATTAGGAGGTGTGGCCTTGTTGGAGGAAGTGTGTCACTGTGAGGGTGGGCTTGGAGGTCTCTTTTGCTCAAGGTATGCCCAGTGTGGGAGATCGTTCACTTCCTGTTGCTTGCAGGTCAAGATGTAGACCTCTCAGCTCCTTCTCAAGCACCATGTCTGCCTGCATGCTACCATGTTCTGCCAGGATGATAATGGACTAAATATCTGAAACTGTAAGGCAGCCCAATTAAATGTTTTCCTTTATAAGAGTTGCTGTGGTCAAAAAAAAAAAAAAAAAAAAAAAAAAGAGTTGCTGTGGTCATGGTGTTGCTTCACAGCAATAGAAATGCTAAGACATAGGTATTATGTATGCAGTGCTGGAGACTGAACCCAGAGCTTGCATATGCTATGCAAGCACACACCAGTGTAGCTGAAGCTCCACATATTCTCTCATTTCTTGAAAGAGAAATTACAAAGACAGTTCTGAATTGTTTCTAGTTTAGACGCTAATGCAGTCTGTTTTGTTTTGTGTGTCAGGCATCGAACCTATGGCCTCACATATAGTAGGTAAGTGCTCCACTATTGAACCACAAGTCCAGTCTTTGGTAAGAGTCCTCTTTGGAAGACCATTGATGACAAATGTTTCTGCAGATATAGTCTTCCTTAATTGTTGGTGAAGGAAGTCATTGCAGCAGCATGGCAAATACCAGTACCTCTTACTCATTGCTCTGAAGTGTTGCTGAAGATTGCATTCCATTTGGGAGGATTGTGATTATTGCAAAACATACATGGTTACTACTTCATAGAATTTTCTACAGGCTTTATCCAGCTTATCAGTTACCACTGCTTTCTTCTCAATTCTTTGATCTGGCTTTTAGCTTCTGTTCCTATTGCACTATGAAACCCACCTTCCTTAGACTATGTGATCATCCCTCACTTACAGCATTCCCCTAGCTTTATTTACATTAGCTCTTGTGCCAGATTTTACATCCCCACGACTTGCTTCTCTTGAGAACTGCTTCCCTGCAGGCATTGCACCTGCTGTTTCCCCCTGCAGCTCCGCTGACTCAGAGCCAGCCCACCAGTCAGGCCTAGGAGCATCCCTGGAAACCACATTCTTTCCTAAAGGTTCAACTTTCAGTAATGACTCCAAATATATTTCTTGGGACATTTCCATCTAACGTCTCAGCTATTGCTTGAAGGGTGAAACTCAAGTTTTCTCTTCAGAAAATGTCTGGATTTTTTTTTTTTTTTCATTCTGCTAATAGCATTTCTGAAGTTTCTCATAACCATCCAAAGTAGGACTAAGCAATTTCTCCAGAACTTTCTCCTCCTCCTTTTCCTTCTAAAACTATTTCATGTCCTATTGTCTCTATACACTATCTCTGACCTAGGTCATTTACTACCTGTGTTTGGCTATTCCTCCTTGTAGGGAGCAGGTGAAGTCCTGAGTCAATGTGTATTGTTTGGCATCAGCACAGCCATATGCCTTAGCCCCATGACATTGGCAAACCCTTGCCTGGGTGAGGCTCAGAGGGAGACTCAAAGCTGTCCTTGGGTCTGATTGTGAATGTTGACCTTATGTGTAGGTTTTCCCTTAGCTGTTTACAGCCTGAGGACTCCTCCCCTTCAGAGACTGCTCCTACCTATGTTAGCTAAACCTGTCTCCTTGCTCAGTTGTATGTGATAACCACGCCTCCTTACTCAGCTGTGGGTGATAGACATGCCTCCTTCCCTGTTCAACTGTATGCAGTGAACACGCAGAGCTTCTGGGATGCTATTGCTTCTCTATCAGAGACCCAAGACCACCTGATCCCAGTTGTTATGTGTGTCCAGGTGTTATTTTTTCATCCCCTCAGTGTTCAAGTTATGTCAATCCCTGGAGTCATGCAGGACACAGCACCTCTCACCATCTTACGGAGCAGCGCTAAGCTTCCTCCGGCTGGTAGGAAGGCATTCTAATTAGGAAGCTATATGATTTGTTCAGATGCTGCAGTGCTCCATGTCCCCACTTTCTGCTCTCCATGGGAGCACAACCAATGGCTAGAGATTCTTAATAGGTTATATGTAAGCGATATTGAATACTTTCCTTTATGACGCAGTACTACGCACTGCAGGAGCCCGTGCATGTCGTCTTCAGGGATTGAAAAGGAACTTCACTTCCAGTTATTTGAGAAACCAGGAAAGCTTTCCAAACCTATGTAAAACCAAAATAGCATAAGCCAACAGACAATTAACAAATAATTTGTATCACAACCAAGGCGAATACACAGTATAGTAAAACACAGGGACTGCTTGAATCATAAAGTTAAAGCCTACTGCTTCAGGGAAGTTTTGAGTCACAGACGGACCTCCTAGGAGTGTGCCTTAGGTCCTTAAGATGACTGTGGAGAAGGGAGAGAAAAAGTGAAGTGTGACCAAGGTTGTTTCTGTTTCTACTGTCTGTGGCAGACTCTATGAAGAACACCGGTGAGCTCTGGAGAGACAGACCCTGGTTCGTCTCTCCTCCTCTCACAGAGGTTCTGGTGCAAGCCTTCATCTACCCATCACACTCATGCTGTCCTTTCTTGTGGCTCTCCCTTGCCTTGCCAACATTTGCCATTTATTTATTTTTGGTAGCAGTCATTCTGAGTTGAGATAATCTCACAATATAGTTTTAATTTGTATTTCCATGATAACTAATGATATTGAGCGTTTGCACATACTTTATTAGCCATTTTGAGAAGTACCTATTCAAATTATTCTCCAATTGTAATTGGATTCATGTTTTGTTAAATTGTTCAGTTCCTAATATAGTCTGGATATGAACTGTGTTATTTTGTTTTTTGTTAACTTGACACAAATCATGTTTATCTGATAGGAGGGAACCTAATTTGAGAAATGTCCCCGTAAGATTGACCAGTATGCAAGCTTGTGGGACATTTTTTTGATTAATGATTGATGTGGAAAGGTACAACCCACTTTGGGTGATGCCCTCTGGGGAGGTGGTCCTGGGGGGTATAAGAAAGCGAGCTGTGCTGTGCATGATAGTGCATGCCTTTAATATCAGCCCTCAGG